GTTAGGGACCCCCCACACACCCATTTTATGGTCTGTTTCTGTTGCTCCCCTCTGGGAGGAGGTTTCGGAGCATTTCTAGCAGGACTACCCGATTCTGTAACAGCTTTGTTACCAATGCCATCCATTTGGTAAACTCGCAAGATTCATTTCTCTTGCCATGTACATCTATACATCCGAACTAAACTGTGTTGTTTCTCTGTATCATATTCTACATGTGGGTATATACATAATTTTGTATTTATTTATTTTGTCATGTTTATGTAGTGCATATTCGAGGTGGTGACCCTTTGAGAGCTGGCCTGTATGCAATGAAATTTTACTTTAATATATGTATGCCGATTAGTGTACATTCAAAGTGACAATAAAGTTATTATTCTATTCTATCATTAAGAGGAGCTTTAGCCATATACAAATCAAACTGATCAAGGCATTGCACGCTTGAGAGCCTATTTTCAATCCTCCTTTGCTTGGAGATATGAGTCTTGTGACCTCTCAAAAGTCCCAAAAGTTTTCAAATACTCTAATGAGTTTTGACTGGTTATGACCTTCATAATTGCGTTCCAGCTGCTTTCAAGCTACTCAGGGCAAAGGTGCTGAAGTTCCCATTATCTGGGCACAGCTCTGTCTCTTTAAAGACTTAAGTGCCATGGAAGTGATTCAATCAACGTATTTAAGAACTTTTCTCTTGCCGCATGCCTATTACATCTCTCCATTCAGAGCTTGGCTTTGCCTCGGTTGAAGCTCAGAATCTAAAAATTTATCTAAAAATATTAGATTAAAAATTGTATTTGGTGGTGGCCTCTACGCTGTCCATCTTTGTTGATAGATTTACCTCTGCACTGAATAAAGATAAATCCAATAACTTAGCCTATTGCACTCTTTCCATGGAATTTCTGATCATTCTGGTCCTGAAAAAAAACTTTATAGAAAATATTCAAGCAGTTCTTCAGTTGAAGCAGCGGAGACATAGATTTAAGGCCTCAAACCATTGCAAGACAGAGCCACTTTGCAGGGCTTTCTCTACACCTAAATATATATTTAAAAATCTTCTGTTTGTTTTGAACCTTTCATGTAGTCTTATCCCATAGGGTGGTGGAAGAAAAATGTAGTAGTAGTACCTCCCCCTTAGAATATTAATATCTAAACCCGGATGAAATATCAAAACATGTGCTTATGTAATGTTGTACTGTCCCTTCTTTATGAAGGTTAATACTACATGCTAGCAACTCCCCTCCTCTCTGAGTATTTATGTTGGACTGAAGGGTGTCATATTTTAGAGGTTCAGTCCTCTAATATGGAGGACTCTAATAGGACAGTAGCTCCATTGCAATTGCCCTCAGGAAGCACTGGGTTTGAATGTGGCTTTAGGCTCTTCTACAGGGAATGTCTCATTTAGCAACTGCCTCGTTTAACCATTTGCATAACCTTGTGACTAGTACTTGCATTTATGACTTTTGTGGGTCTGCAAAGTAAAGCAAAGCTGAAGTAAGATATTAAGCACAATGTGGTTTCATTTAGTAACTATTTCGCTTAATGACTGAGTTGCTGTCCCAATTATGATCACTAAATAGGGAATACATGTATTTCATTTCATTGTGTACTGTTTTAAATAAATCTCTGTTTGTTGTTGTTGTTATTAGTCACGAAGTCATGTCCAACCCATCGCAAATCCATGGACAATGTTCTTCCAGGACTTCCTATCCTGTACCATCTCCCAGAGTCCATTTAAGCTCACACCTACTGCTTCAGTGACTCCATCCGGCCACCTCATTCTCTGTCGTCCCTTTCTTCTTTTGCCCTCAATCATTCCCAGCATTAGGCTCTTCTCCAGTGAGTCCTTCCTTCCCATTAGGTGGCCAAAATATTTGAGCTTCATCTTCAGCATCTGGCCTTCTAAAGAGCAGTCAGGGTTGATCTCCTCTAGGACTGACTGGTTTGATCACCTTGCAGTCCAAGGGACTCGCAGGAGTCTTCTCCAGCACCATAGTTCAAGGGCCTCAATTCTTTGGTGCTCAGCCTTCCTTATGGTCCAGCTTTCACAGCCATACATTGCAACTGGGAAAACCATAATCTTGACTATACACTTTTGTTGGCAGGGTGATGTCTCTGCTGTTTAGTATGCTTTCTAAATCTCTGTTAACTGTATCATTTATGCATGTCTTTGATTTTGGGGAGTTTCTTTTATAGTCTTTGTAGATAATAACTTTAATGAATAATTTCCACTATTAAATACATACTTAATGACTATTTCCGCCAGATCAGTTTTGTACGGTCACTAGGTAATCCCATCTCACCTTACACTGTATATCTTGGTTCTTGTTTTATAGGCATCATACATACTCTATTTAATTTCATTTGTCCAAACTTCTGATTTATTATCTATAATCAGGTATCCTTCCCACTTCTTGTATTCCAAAAGGAAATAGAGACAACAAAAGGTCCTAGCAATGAAAATTTGATCCAACTGAATGACTGCAGTTAGATATACATTGGGAAACTGCCAGCTAGAAACTGGAAGGGAGGGAGTCAGACATGGGCTTAGCTTAGAGTCCTTGCACAGCTGCAAAAGGCATAAACATGACTACCCATTCCAGCCTAGCTAGCAGTTTCCCAATAACACATTCACTATTGTATTGGGGTAAATTGAAAAATGTACATTATTAGATGATTTTTGAAAACCCATTATTTAAGAATATTTCACTAATGGTTTGTTTCAAATAACTCTCTGGGAATCCTCCCTAAGATATCCTACCACAGGCTTGAGGTTTAGTAGGGGGGGTTTATCTGCTTCATAGATTTGCCAATAAGTTTTGCAAAACAACATTTTAATTAAGTTCTTGTTTATCACAAATCTAACAAGCTTAGACTAATGATCAGCAAGCTCGATATTTTTAAAACATTCTACTTCATTTATTAAAACCAATAAAACGTTTACTGTCAAAAGGAAAAAATAAATACACTGTCAATATTGTTTACCAAACCAGCTAATTGGGTTTGCTTAATGATTCCAGTGAAGTCAGAATTGTTGTTTTCTTTATCAATTTCTCTCTTCCTCTCCATGTCTGAAATTAATTTTGAAGACATTCCTCAATATGCTTGTTTACTATTATATGGGAAACACTTAAAAAAACTGAATAGCCTCAAAAGAAAAATAATGGTTCCCTTTTGTATTTTCCCCAGATTGTCTCTTATATAATGCTCGCCGGAACACTGATTTTTCTTAGCATCTTCAAAGCACAAATAATTACACTGTCTTTTCCTTCAATATGTTTTTGTGAAAAATGAATATGCTCACTGCAACCAAGACTGAATAACAAAGTTGGCTGAATTATTATTATTATTTATTAAATATTTATGCTGCCCATCTCCCCTATAAGGCAACTCTGGGCATCTTTCAGATTATAAGAAGATAAATAGAAAAGTAGTTAAAATATTTAAAATGTGCAAATAAAAAATTTAAAACTGTACAAAAAACACAAACAAACCCCAGGACTAAAAATCAGGTAGAAGAGGGATGAGGTCTTCACTTCCAGTAGTGAGTGCCCCCATTGGGCCCCAAGCCAACTATTAAAATCAAATTTTAATTTTAATACCCTTCGCCAGGCTAAAATGATGGAAGCAGTTCTCACCACTGGTGTGTTCCATAGGGACAGGACCACAGTAGGAAAGGTCTTTTTCTTGACCCTGCCTGCCAGAATTCCTTCACAGGTAGGGTCCATAGCAGGCTTCTTCCACTGGTGCAAGTGGGGCTGGCTAGTTCCATTGGGGTGAGTTGGCTCTTAGATACCCTGGACCTCCATGCCATAGAGGGTTTCAATAGTAATAACATCTTGAATTGGAGCTACAAGCAAACTTGTAGGCAATGTAGCATCTGTAACAGTGCCATTCCGGGGCCTTAGAACTGTGTACAGCACTGCATCAGAGGTGGTGCTTCAGCAGGTTCTGACCAGTTCTGGAGAACCGGTAGTGGAAATTTTGAGTAGTTTGGAGAACCGGCAAATACCACCTCTAACTGGCCCCACCCCCCTCTATTCTCTGCCTCTCGAGTCCCAGCCGGGTCTTCTTTTGTTGCCCTGCACAGGAAAACAGAGCTGAAAAAAGCAGGTTAGTGGGGTGGGGAGGGAATGGGATTTTGCAGTAACCTTCCCCATGGAGGGGGGTGGGAATGGAGATTTTACAGTATCCTTTCCCTGCCATGCCCATCAAGCCACGCCCACAGAACTGGTAGTAAAAAAATATATATGAATCCCACCACTGCACTGCATTCTGCACCAGTTGTAGCTTCCGAATACTCTTCAGGGTAGCCCCATGTGGTAATCCAATCAAGAGATGACTAGGGCTTGAGTCGCTATGTGCAGGGCCTTACTGTTGTAGTTGAGCAATGAGAGGCTAGACCAGGGCTTGGATGCAACAAGACTTTATTGTAGCAATAAAGGACTGAACGTGTTAGCCCTGCCTGGAACAGGCTCACAGCGATCAGCGGCTGGCCGGACCCTGCAGCTGGCTTTTATAGCCGGCTGTCGAGGGAGGCTAGCCAATGAGGGGCAGCAAACGCCCCCGCAGCATGAACGGACCTGGGTGGGGACTTTGGCAAGTTCCAGGGACATAACACCCCTTCCCCCCAGATGCGAACACGCATAGTCACTTAAATAAGCGGGCGGTCTGTGCTGGCGCCCCGAGCGCCGTAACTCCAGTGAGTTACCAAGTGTCTCAGAGTTCAAGGCACCCGGTGGGGTTGGTGATGGGGTGCAGCCTCGCCCAGAGGGTTGCACTGGCACCGGTGTTGTGCTTGTGTTTGGTGATGTTGTGGCCCCGTCTACTGGTTCTGGTGGCGGACCCGTTGGGCAGTCCCGGTCTACTGCCTGCTCCCCTGGTCCGGGCGGTGGTGGTGGAGCGATTCTGGCATGGTCTTCGGTGGGAGCTTGGTGTGGCACCTGGGGGTTGACCTGAGCCCACGATCCGACACTGGCGAAGGTACCCTGTCGCTTCCTTAGCTGGTCCAGGTGTCTTCTCCAGATGCGGCCGTCTTCCAGCTGTACTTGGTATGACCGGGGACCGGTGATGGCTACTATCACTCCTGGAATCCACAGCGGGTCTCCGGCATAGTTCCTTGCAAATACATGTTCCTGCAAGACAAAATCTCTGACCCCCGTCATTGAAGCGAGAGGGGTGTCAGGGCAATAGTGAGGGTGGAGCCTGTCCAACACAGTTCTTAGGCGTCTACCCATCAGCAGTTCAGCAGGGGACTTGTTGTTGACCATGCAAGGGGTCGAGTGTTGGCTTAGCAAGAAACGGGAGAGTCTGTGATGCCAATCTTCTTTGCTGAATCTGGCTAACGCTTCTTTTGTGGATCTAACGGCTCTCTCCGCCAGTCCGTTGCTGGCAGGATGGAAGGGAGCCGTGAAGATATGTCGGATACCAAGATTTGTGGCAAAACGGCTAAATTCTGTTGAGGCAAACTGGGGGCCGTTATCCGAAACTATGGTATCAGGTAGCCCGTGTGTTACGAATAGGCGAGTTAGAGCCTTGGTAACTGCTAGCGTGGTGGTCGTGGATAGTTGGGCCACATCGATCCATTTAGAGTATGAATCAACGACCACCAAGAAGGTTTTGCCGTGTATTGGACCCGCTAAGTCAATGTGTAGCCTTGACCAAGGCACGTTGGCGCTCTCCCACTTCGTGGGGGTGGTGACTGGAGGGGATGGTCTGGATTCCTGGCAGGGTTGGCATGAGCTTACCCACTTGACGATGTCGTCGTCCAAACCAGGCCACCAGACGTAGCTCCGTGCCAACGCCTTCATCCGGACGATGCCCGGGTGGCCCTTGTGTAGTGCCTCTAAGACTGGTGTGCGAAGTGAGGCCGGAATAACAACCCGGGTGCCCCACAACAGGCAGCCCTGTATGCTAGACAGCTCCTGTTGACGGGTCTTAAAAGGTGTGAATTCGGCTGAGAGGTTAGAGCCCGGCCACCCCCTCCTCACCCAGTCCAGTACCTGGGCGATGGTTTTGTCCGTCTTGGATTTGGTGGCGATGTCGAGGGCGGTGACAGGAAGGTCGAGCTCGGTGACATCGAAGATGGCATGGACCGGGGCTGGGTCTTCTGCTGGAGCTGGCAGGGGGCAGCGGCTGAGGGCGTCTGCGTGGCTTAGCGTTTTTCCTGGGTGGTGGATGAGCTTGTATGAATAAGCCGCCAGGAACAAGGTCCACCTCGTCATTCTGGGAGACAACACTTGGGGAGTCTGCTTGTCTCCGGAAAGAAGACCCAGGAGAGGCTTGTGGTCCGTGATTAGCTCAAAGTTGTGGCCAAACAGGAATTCATGAAATTTCTTAACCGCGGCCACTGCGGCTAAAGCCTCCTTGTCGATCTGACTATAGTTACGCTCTGTTGCTGAGAGCGTTCTAGAAAAGAAGGCAATTGGTGCCTCGGAGCCGTTGGGTAGTCTATGGCTTAATACGGCGCCAATCCCAAAAGGGGATGCATCCGCGGCTAGTACCAGTGGGAGGTGTGGGTCAAATTGAATAAGGACCGCGTCAGATGTGAGCAGTGATTTGACTGCGCGAAAAGCGGTGTCTTCCTTGTGTCCCCAGTGCCAAGGTGCTTTTTTATCTAAGAGCCTGTGTAAAGGCTCTGCTACTGATGCTTTGTGAGGTAGAAATGATGCATAAAAGTTCAATAATCCCAAAAAGGCTTGTAGCTCGGCTTTAGTGGTTGGTGTGGGTGCCTCATGAATTGCCTTGACCTTGGACACTAGGGGGTGAATGCCTGAGGCGTCAATTTTATAGCCCAGAAAGTCCACCTGTCTAGTGGAAATGGCACATTTCTCCTTTTTTAATTTGAGGCCATGCTGTCTGAACCTGTCTAACACTGCTCTGACTCTCTGGAAGAGTTGGGGTGTGTCCCTGGCCGAGACCAATATGTCGTCGAAGTAGGGTACTACGCCAGGGAGGCCCTGTGGTATACGCTCCATGAGGGATTGGAAGATGCCCGGGGCAACACTTACGCCAAACTAGAGACGCTTGCACCGGAATGCACCCCTGTGGGTCACAATGGTCTGCAGTTCGGCTGTTTGGTTGTCAACAGGGAACTGTTGATACGCTTGTGACATGTCCAATTTGGCAAAAATGTTGCCAGGCTCAAAGGTATGTAATAAATGTTGAATGACCGGTACTGGGTACGCGCTAACTTGTAGAAAGCGGTTGATTGTTGTTTGTAATCTGAACAAATTCTCAGGCTGCCATCCTTTTTAAGGGGTGTGACAATTGGCGTCTCCCATTTGGCGAAGTCTGTCGGCTCAATGACCCCTTGCTTTAACAATTTATCGAGCTCTGCGTCTAGTTTAGGCCGAATGGCGAATGGGACTCTGCGCGGTTTCAGCCGGACTGGAACCGCTTGGGGGTCAACTGCAAATGATATGGGGGTACCATTATAACACCCTAACTCATTGCTGAATACGTCTGAGTAGTCATTGAATAAGGAGTCAGTGTCAGAAGCTGAGACAGCATGGACTCCTGTTAACCCTAGGCCGAGGTGGGGGAACCAATCAAGCCCCAGGAGACTGGGGAGGTTGCCGTTAACTACCACTAGAGGCAGGTGGCCTTTGAAAGCTTTAAAATTAACAAGGAACTTGCCTTTGCCGAGTACTGGAATGTCTTTTCCCTGATAATCCCTCAAGGAGACCTGGCACTTCTGGAGCTGGTTTCTGGATAGCCTGGGCTGGATTCTCTTGAGGGTGCTCCAAGAGATGATTGAGAGCGCTGACCCCGTGTCAACCTCCATATGACGAGATTTACCTTCTAATAAAATGGAGAGTGTTATTTTACTAATAGAGTGACAGGTGTGGTTAGCATGGTAGCAAGTGTGACAATTTAGTACTTGCCTTTGGGACCCAGAATGGGAAAAAGAAGGAACCTTTTGTGCTGAGTTGTGCGCGGCCTGGCAGACTCTAGCGATGTGGCCTTTTTTGTGGCAATGGTTACAGATGGCACCTTTGAATTTGCACGTAGCTCTCGAGTGAGGTCCGCCACAGGATAGGCACAGGATGATGTGTTTGGGTGCGCTGTTGGTTTCTTGCCTGGCTCCTGCCTGTGGTTGTTTGGCATGGGTGAGGCGGTGGATGTTTGTTTGATCGTTAGGGTCATCTTCGTTGACTACCTCTTCTGAATGAACGGTGGCGCAGCTTTGTTTGGGAACAGGACCTTGAATTTCAGTGGCGGACTGGGTTGCCAGCTCTGCTGCCAAGGCTTCCTCGACGGCCTGGGATAGGTTGAGGTCCTTCCTGGCGAGTAGTCACCTCTGGAGGTGAAGGTCTTTGACCCCGCAGACGAGCTGGTCAAGGAGCATGTCATCAAGATAGTTCCCGAACCCGCAGTGGAGGGCTGCAGTCCTCAAGGCGGCCATATATTGATTGACGGTTTCCTTTTCCGCTTGCTTCCTCATCCGGAAGGTGAAACGCCTCGCGATTTGTGAGGGTCTGGGGGAGTAATGGTTGGTGAGAATCTCTAGCAATTCTGCCCAGGGGACATTCTTTAACTCACGTGGAGCGACGAGTGCTGTGGCGGTATCAAAACGATGGCCCCGCAATAACTGAGAAAGAATGACTTTTTTCTGTGCTCCCCAGCATCAGCTAGACCGATAGCGTCGATGTAGTGGTTAAAACGATTCTTGTATGACTCCCATTTTTCTTCTTCCGGCTTGAACGGTGGGAAGGCTGGGTTGGAGTTCATGATGAGGACTCCTGCGTGATATGCTGTTGAGAAATCTCTCTGGGACAACAAAATGGCACTTGTGCTCTTGTCCGGCTAGTGACTACAGCTCTGGAGAGGCTCCACAGACCTCTCTGCTCTCTCTCTGGGCTACAATTTGGGGCTAAGCTGCAACCGCTGTTGGCAGCGTTTTGAAATTCGCGCTCCTGGAGAGCGTAGGCGGTGATGGCTTGCCGCCTCTGATAGCGCTTTGAATTTCACGCCTGCGTAAGTGTCAGTAGCTCGGAATAACAGCACCGCGCTGTATTCCGGCAAGAAATCCAAACGACAGCCGTTTGAATTTCGCGCTCTTTTTGTGCTGAGCGGCTGCGGCTCGCAGCGCTTCGCTTTCCCCTGTAGCTTGCTAACAAGCGGCTACAGACGCTATTACTTTCGCTCTTGCTGACCGAGCTCTCCGGCGGCGCGGCTGCGGCTCAGCGGTTTTAGTGATTTCAGCTGTTGCGAATTGCCTCTGGTAGCCATCCCACCTTCATCGCCAGTGTTGTAGTTGAGCAATGAGAGGCTAGACCAGGGCTTGGATGCAACAAGACTTTATTGTAGCAATAAAGGACTGAACGTGTTAGCCCTGCCTGGAACAGGCTCACAGCGATCAGCGGCTGGCCGGACCCTGCAGCTGGCTTTTATAGCCGGCTGTCGAGGGAGGCCAGCCAATGAGGGGCAGCAAACGCCCCCGCAGCATGAACGGACCTGGGTGGGGACTTTGGCAAGTTCCAGGGACATAACACTTACAATCTAGGTTAGGGTGCAACTGGCACACAACACGAAGTTGCGCAAAGGTCCTCCCAGCCATTTTTCCCATCAAAGAGGAGGTGGCAAACTGGACAAAAAAAATTGCAGATTGGCTCCAGCGATGGTTGCTGAATGTTATGCTGACTCAATGAGTTTCTATAACAAGCGTCCCTTCGGATTTTGCTGAAATATTTTGTCACATTCAACCTCCTACTTCCCATTAAAACTGATAGCTGATATATTAAAAGGAAGGCGAAATAAATTGTATTATAGAAATATATTTTATTTCAATTTCCACTCTTCTTCAATATTTTAAAAGGAAAATAAACCACTGTAAATCAATCAATTTTGAGGAAAGAAGCAGTATGCTTCTAGCCATTATATTTATGGATTGTAAGAGCCCCTTGCTTTTTAGAGGAACTGTGTGAGATGAAACAATGCCAGAGATGTTTAGTTTCACCAAAGGAAGACCAAGAGATAATCTGATCAGCTCAGCTAAGAATCTTTCTTAAGATTTACTTTTTGGCACAATGAACAGTGAAAGGGGTTTATTTCACTGATTTTAAGTTTTGATGTTTTTATGTATTAACTGTATATGTAATGATAAGCTGACCAGAGTTACCCTATGATAAGGGGGACAGTCAGTAAATTTATCTATTTATCTATCAATCAATAAACAAACAAACAAACAAACAAATCTCCCATTTTATTGCATCTGTAGATGCCTGGTTAGCACTTGTATTTTGGGTGATAAGAATGGACTACAGGAACCTTTGCAGATTTTATGTGCTGATTTTCTAGATATTTGTTGAATGAAAAATGTTCCAATCTACTCAGAATTGGACTCTAGCTGAGAAGGTCCTTTCGAATTGATTGAATCATGATCTTGCATCGTTATCTGGGAAGGGTTTCATTTGGTCAGTCCTGTGGAAGTGGACTGGGCCCGTGGGGCTGTGAATTCCACCACGTGTGAATTCCACCCCCTGGAATTAGATCCATCTCTGTTCTGGCTGGTCAAGACCTTTGAGGAGATCACATGTACTTGGATCCAAGTTGTAGTGAAAGCTTCTTTGCAAAAGGGGATCATTTTACTTTCTTTGAAAGATCTGTTGATCTATCCCTTCCTTAAGCAAACATCTTTATATCCAACAGTACTGGACAAGACAGGATGAAGATAATTGCGTCCCAGCTTCAAGGGCTCTGAAGTAGTTTATCTGAACTCTTTCCATTCAGGATCCAAGCCTGGTTATAATACTAAAATAGTCCTGGTTGTGCTTGGGAATTTCAGGATATGGCTAGGCCATCTATTTTTGCCCTCATAGATCTCTTAGCAGCTTTAAATAACAAAGTTTAGTATCCTTCTGGATTGATTCCTGATCTGGTTCCAGTTTTATGATGGGTCTCCTCTTTCCCCAAAGGCTGGTTACATTTGGGGGTGGTGATGGAGAGGAGATGTCTACCTCTAGACCTCTGCTTTGTGGGGGTGCCTCAAGATTTAACTCTCTCTCCTTTCCTATTTAACATCTACACGAAAATGCTGAACGGGGACATCTATTGGCAGATATATATCTCTACTCTGAGCTTTACAAGTGATGTTGGCAAGGTGTTTATCCCTCTGCAGTGGAGGCAGAGGGAGCTCTGTATAGGAACGAACAATTCATATCCTAATCTTACCGGAAACGAATGTTTCTCAGGTGTTGGGTTTCTTGGTTGTGGAGCTGTTACATCTACACTGTACATTACACCAGATGGCGCTTCCCCAGATAAACTTGGTAGGCAATCTGGGATCCCTAAGACATAACTTTGGCTTGTAAAGCAGGTGAGGCTAGGAGGGATTTTCACAAGCTCATCTTTTGTACACTTTAGTTGCTTCCATTCGGATAAATTCAGTGCACTGTACATGGGATGTCCTTGACAAGAATTTGGAAGTTTCAACTGGTCTAGAATTATTTTCCAAAGCACCAGAGGGCAGGACAAGAAACAATGGATGGAAACTAACCAAGGAGAGAAGTAAATTGGAATGAAGGAGAAACTTCCTAACAGCGGGGACAATTAACCAGTGGAACAGCTTGCCTTCAGAAGTTGTGGATGCTTCATCACTGGAGGTTTTTAAGAAGAGACTAGACAGTCTCTTGCCTGAAATGGTATAGGGTCTCCTGCTTGAGCAGGGGGTTGGACTAGAAGACCTCCAAGGTCCCTTCCAGTTCTATTCTGATTGATTGATAGAATATAGTGGTCTGTATGATACTGATATTGAGTGCACTTTCATTTGCCTGTGTAATAC